GAACAAGAATTACATTTTTAAAAAGAGATACTGATAAATATTAATGATGTTAACTGTATCACATGACTTAAATTTTTGCACTTTTACATTCTTTGCCTCTTTTGTTAGCCCTTTTGTTTGGGAGTCAGATTAGGCATCCATGTCATACTGTAGTGTGTGTGTGGTAAGTACTTAAAGGGTGTACTTAAACAGAATGTGTGTTCTACTTTTTTCTTGTGTGTGTGTGTATGTGTGTGTGTATGTGTGTGTGTGTGTGCGTGTGTGTATGTGTGTGTGTGTGTTGGGAAGGGAAGGCAGCATTCATTGAATGTAAACTTTATGTGTAACAATTCCTTAACATGTGATATTAGTTCAAAACATCGAAGAACTTTGCCGGGTTAAATTCATATGAATTATCTCTGTGAGTTCGAGACCAGCCTGGTCTACAAGAACTAGTTCCAGGACAGGCTCCAAAACCACAGAGAAACCCTGTCTTGAAAAACCAAAAAAAAAAAAAAAAAATCATATGAATTTTGGGACTTCGTGTAAGAACTACTAAACTAGTACCCACAAGAAAGCCCTTTTTTTTTTTTCTGTTCCTTAAGCTAACATTTACTTTGGGTGAATTTAAAATTGACAGCCTTAATCATGGACTAGAACAGAAGTTTTCTATTGTTTCAGGTTTATGTACATATGTCTTGGAGTTGGTTGAATATGGTATATTTAATACAGACTATGACCAGAGTCTGGTTCTTACATGAGAAACAATCTCTTAAAACACACTTGCAAGAGAAAATATACACACATGCGCACACACACACACTTGCTAAGTCAGAAACAGGCGTTTGGCTAGCTGCATCATTTGAAGCTTCTTGAAGAATCATTAGCAGAGTTCCCAGCTGACACCCCCAAGGTTCTTTTTGTGGAAGGTTTGTTATTTATTTCTTAGTTTAATTATCTTCAGTGTAGATTGCTTAGGAAGAGAATTATGAAATTTTGGTTAATTCTGTTGTACTTAACAAACTTGGTCCAAGTAGACCCAAATCATAATTTGGAAATGAAACACCTCATTTTAAACATACTTGATGGTGGTGGCACATGCCTTTAATCCCAGCACTCAAGAGGCAAGATAGAGTCAGATCTCTGTGAGTTCAAGACCAGCTTGCTCTACAAAGTGACTTCCAGGACAGACTCCAAAAGCTACAGAGAAACTCTATCTCAAAAGAACCAAACCAAAACAACAAAAAAACAGAAAAACAGATGTTTGGGGAGTGGGCCATTTACTCTGCCCTGACTGCTAACTCCCATCAGCACTGGGGAACCAGAGGTCAGTGGTGGTTTTTGTTTTGTGACAGGGTTTCTCTGTGTAACCACCCTGGCTGTCCTGGATCTCTCTGGAGACCCTGCCTCCCGATTGCTGGGATTAAAGGTGTGCGCCACTGCTGCCTGGTTTTGACCTCTTTTATACATCAGCTCCTGTATCTGACACTATAGATACTGTGTCTCCTGACAGAATGAAGTCGGGGCTCTCTCACACTTGTCTTTAAATTAGCAGGTGCCTAGAATCAGTATAGGGTAAATATTTGTTAAATAAAACTTTATTTCTTTGGGAATTTTCTGGTGAATTTTACTGCTCAATTGCTATGTGCCTTTAAAGCCAGTAAAGAAGTAATCTGTAACCTGAGAGAACTGAAGAGTAAATTCCAGAATTCATCCTCAGGTTTAAATTCTGACCCAAGGTGTTTTTAGACTGTTTATTGTTACTTAACTGAGGATTCATCTGTAAAATAGAGTTAGTAAATACATGATTTATTTTTAAAATAATATGGAGGAATAATATGGGGTCTGCAAATTGAAAATTTTGTGTTTATATAACATTTATTGAGTGCCCATTTAGCGCTGCCTTTTTAATGTATTTTACCTAATCCCAAACCCAGCAATCAGATTACTAGAGTGATGGGGAAGCACACAGGCTCTGTGCCTCCTGTCTGCACCTGCTCGTTCCCTGCTCCCTTCTCTGCGCCGGGATGAAGTCAGGCTTTTCCTGTTTATGGTGCTAGTGTTCTGCCCCAGCACACTCTACACTCTTCACAACACTAATGAAAAATCTTGTTCTTATTTATTCATGATTTATTTTGAAAATGCATTCACTTACATTTTAACAACTGTGTGCTAACAGAGTTAAGTGAACCCAGAAAGCAACAAAATTATTTTTTCGGTAAAGCCATTGAGTCCTTTGTTTGCTTCAGAATTTGTGGGGAAGAAATCTGCATAGAATGCCCATAGGAGATGAATGGAAGTAATAGGTTAGGTCGTGTCAGTACTGTCCTGTGCATACTAAACAGATGGAGGCAGCATGCTGAGAACCTGTCTTATCTGTTTTGGGATGTATTATTACTTGATGTACAAACAACTGACTTATTTTATTTACTGTTCTCTCTCATTCTTTCATTCTATCCATCCCCTCGCCTTTTTATGTTTTAACTGGATTATAACATAGGGCTTCTCTCTTTAAGTTAGATCCACCTTTTTATTGAATTTCAGTATTTTCCAGCAGGTTCTTTGTTCACGTGTTTTTGTATTTGAGGAGGTTGTTTCTGCCTCCTAGCAATCTTAGCAGTGATTTTCTTTTCCCTTTCCAACCACCCTCTACCAGTTAACTGTCTCATGATTTTTCCAAGGTTTACCATGCTTGAGAAATAAAAGTGTGGATTCTTACGTTCGTGTTTCCCTTTAGGATTATTCAGTGATCACAGGAGTTTGTCTCGTGCTTGAAAGCGATGCCAGCAATAGCCTGCTGCTCTCTGGGGGATGAGCGGCTTGGGAACTCACAGGCATACATAGTCTTCTCTGCCTGTGCTCCTCTAACCTGGGCCTTGTCCTGATGCTGACCACCTTGGAGCTGCTTTGTGGACAAGGCCTCAGAGAGGCTAGAGGCTGGAGATAGCCTTCTTCACATAGGTTGGGTATGGGATAGTCTGTATTATTTATAAGTTTTGGACATTTTCCCCTACCTTTTAACTTAGAAATGTTTCAAATTTCTATGAAATTTGAATGCTTATTGAATACATGCTCTTCACATCGATAAATCTGACAGTGTTTTCCACATTTCCCTTGCCTCTGTGCAGAAAAATTTTGACTAGCCCATTGAAAATAAGGTTTACAACCTTAACTCCTAAACATATCAGTACAACACCTAAGTATATACCCTTCATGCCATTATCTCCCCAGTACAATTGCCACTCCTAACAGAACAGTTCTATAATGTTGTCTATGTAAATGGTCTATATGTGAGTTTTCCAGGTCGCCCTAGTTGTTTAGTGTATCAGGTTGTAGACCGGCTCAGCTGCTCTGTTGTTGTGCACTCTGGAGCTGTGCTCGCTTCCTCATGATCAGATTTAGCGTGGGTGAAGACAGCCCTTACAGCTTCACCATAGGGTACCTAGTTTCCCCTGTTGGGATGACTGTCCTTTGCTTTTAGCAGTCCCGCTCCTGTGAAAGCACCCTTTTCCTTTGTCCCTAGCAAGCAGTCTGGACGCGTGGTGGTTTGAATGAGATGTTCCTCACAGTCTCTGGCAATTGACTACTATTTGGGAGGCTTGGGTTTGGCCTTGTTAGAGGAACTATGTCACTGGAACTGGGCTTCAAGTGTTAAAAGACTCACACCATTGCTAGTTTGATCTCTGTTTCCTGCTTGTGGTTTAAGAGAGGAACTCTGTGCTGCTGCCTTGGTTCTGCGCAAGGATGGTGACGAACTCTTATGTCTCTGAAACTGCGAGCTAAAATAAGTTGCCTTTGTCGCAGCTGAGGGAAAGTGACTAACACAGGAGGTAATGTTTGAGTGTAAGTTTTCTGGTCCCCTATGGCATGTCAGCCAGGCCTTTGTGGTCCTTTCCTGAGCTATGGCCGATGGGAAATTGTAAAGTGATGGGCTTTCTCTCTGCACTGTCTCTTCTACTTTTATACTTGGTACTGTTCTATTAAGCAGGTTTCTTTTTTCCTGCCCCTCACTCCAGTGTGTATGTGTACATGCTTTCTAGAATTCATATATGTAACCCACTTATTAAGTGTGTTGTAGGGCATTGCCATTCTTTTTGATGTTCAGATTGTCCTGGGGTGAGGGGTGTTTGTCCAAGCACTGGTGTAAATGGGAATGAGGCAGGAGTGCTCAGAGACCTGTGTGAGGAGAGAGCACCTAGTGGCGCTTGGCTAAGCAAGGTCAGTCATGTTCCTTGTGAGAAACACATGGGAGGCCTTGTTTGAAAAGTATACTTCAAAACCTCAGTAAGACCAGGGTAGACATGGTGTGTGAGGGCTGTGCTCAGTCCTCAGGACTTTAGGGTAAACTCAAAGGTCACCTAAAAACACCAAGGGAGCCATGGTAGATGCTCTGGTCTGCGTGAGAACTGCCTCCAGATCCGTGTGCTGAGAGCTCTCTCCCATCTGAGTGCTGTTTAAGGAGACGGTGGGACTCCCAGAGACTGGGACCACTAGAAGAAGTGGGTCCTATGGGGCATGCCGGAGGAGTGCAAGCTTGTCCCCAGCCCTGGATTTCTTTCCTGGCCACCATGAGGGAGAAGTCTGTTCCATACTTTCCCAACAAATATTCTGCATTGGCTCAAAACCAAAGCAATGGATTCAGCACAGTTTGCTGAAATGATGAACCAAGATAAATCTGTCCTGTAAACCGCTTCTCTCCAGTGTGTCACAGTGAGTGAAACACAAGCCCGCTTGTTGCAGTCTTCTGCCCTGGCCTGGGCTTGCAGTGATTTACCTGAGCACAGTGCCAGAGTTTGTGAAAGAGCACCTCTAGTTTGATGCGGACAGATTGAGAGTTGCCAGTAGCCAGGTTCATAATTACAGATTTTGTTGTTTTTCTTTTGGCGGTATATGCTTAGTAACTGTACTTTGCCACTTGAACTGACATACTACATATGAAACTCTAGTTCAATGTCTGGTATAAAGTAAGCATCTTGTAATTTTTATAACAGTTGTTAATTAACCTTTGTGTTTATTTTCAGAGAGCTATTGCTTACCTTTTTCCAAGTGGTTTGTTTGAGAAGCAAGCCAGGCCAATAATGAAGGTAATCCTAAATACTTGTTTAATAATGTCTTTTATGTGTTATAGAGGTTGCCTAATAACATTTTACATTTATTTTACAGCATCCTGAACAGATTTTCCCAAAACAAAGAGGTAAGGTCGCTCAAGACTGAGATGGTTCATTTTGTTTTTTAGTTCACTGTAGATTTGGGTTACACATCAGGAGTTTTGTCACAGTGGATGTGGAGTGGGTCAGAAGTACTCTGTATAATAATGAATGGTAGAATCCGCAGAGTTTGTGTAGGATACGAAAGTTAGATCAAGATAAGCCTTGTGTCTGTGGTAATACCACACTGATTACTTGCATTCTGCTTCCACTAGACATCTATGAGGAAGAGTTTGTGGGTTGTACATCTGTTGGTGACTTGTTCATCTCTTTTTTATGTGAAGTCTTTCTGATTTTCTTCCTTTAGAGACCTAACTCTACTGAATATGAAATATTAGTCCTTTTTGGTCTTCTAGCTCTTTGCCTTAGCCTCCAGTGCAGATGGGGTCACAGGCCTGTGCCACCAGGATCCACTCAGCTTACGCCTCATCTGTCCTAGGGCTTTACTTCATTCTTTTTAAATACCTCTAAACGTGTGTGTGTGTGTGTGTGTGTGTGTGTGTGTGCGCGCGCGCGCAGAGGCACACACGTGCGCACATGTGCACAGACACATGCATGCGCACATGCATGCTAGTGGGCATGCACACATAGAAGTCAGAAGACATCTTAGAGTAATTGGTTCTCTGCTTGCACCATGTGGGTCCCGGGGCTCGAACTCGAGTCATCAGACTTGGTGGCAAGCGCTTTACTCATTCTCAGGTCTTCTCTTCACTCTTTGAATAACTTTTATTTTGGATTTGTTATAAATATTTTAAGTCTCTTTCTACATGTGGCCTATGTTTCCCTATTCTCAATTCTTAAAAATGATTGATTATAACATATAAAACATTCACTTCAGAATCGTTTTTGGAGAAAAATGAAGACTGTATACAAGTGCACACCAGGTTTGAAGTTGCAGTGTTTTTTATAGACCAGTTATCTGTATGGACAGAGTAACTTGTACCTAGTTGCTTTTCTGATAAATGTCTGGAATAGCAGCAATGGATTCTTTCCCTTTTAACTGGCTTCTCTTTGCTCCAACTCCTAAGGCTACCCACCAATTCTTCATCTCTTAATTTTTTTAGCGTATCTTTATGAGCTGTGTCTCTTCTGCCCTCTGAGGCTTCGTGGTTCCTTCGAGTACTTTCTCAGTATTATGTACTCATTATTAGCAGCTGCGGTGTGACACCAAAGCTTGAGGCTATCCCCACAAAATGTCCATGAATGATTTTGAAAATATGTGACTCTTGCTAGAATCATCTGCAGCTAAGTGTATTTAACAGTGCTCCTTTACAATAGCAGAAGTTCTGCTTTCTGCTCTCAACTTTATTGTAGTTTTTATAGGAGAAATCAGATTTTAGTATTGAGAGAAGTAACAATGAAGTTTAGATTTGTAGAGATTATGGCACTTGTACTATACTACTACTTGGTTTATTGAAAGACGGAAGCTTTTAGATTGAGTTATCATAAAACACCTGCCCTGTGAAGTGGTAAAAACAATAAGGAAAATGAAGATACACACCAAATTGATGGCAGAACCAAGAAGGAGCACTGATAGCCCAGAATTGGAGGACGCCAGGGAATTGTCCAGCAATGTGAGAAAGTTAATTTGTCTTGATAAACCTGTTGTCCAGTATGTGGGTCTGATGATCTTGAGCTTTTCCATACCAGACACTTAGCACTGACAGACTAGAAAGCGGGACTGTTAACTAAGGCTAAAGAATTCAAATAATGTATCATGCTTTAGTAGTAGAAAAGACTGTTTTCTATGCTGATGACTACTGAATAGTAATAGAATTAATTATACATGGTAAAGTGAATGATTGAGAAAAAAATAAAGTTTCAAGAGTAGAAGTTATATCAGTTAAATTTCCTGATTTGAAATCAATAGAACTGTATCACTGTTGGATTAAAGAATCAAATTTGAAATTACTCATTATTTGGAAGTATTTGACATCTCCCATCAAGCCCTGTGGAATATATTCATGTCATGCAGACACAAACACATGTCATTAGTAATTGAGAAAGACAAAGTAGAAGAAAAATGAAATTGATGAACATAATGGCAAATTTAAGAGTGACTGCAATACAGAATCACCTTTGAGAAGGCCGGTGAAGTCAGTCAGAGAATAATGTTATACATATCTTATTATTATTACTACTACTACTTTGTGGGGGTTGAATGGAACCTTGGGTTGCCTCCTGTATGCCAGGCATCAAGTGCGTTTTACCATGAAGCTGTGTTTGCTGCCCAATATTAACACTTTCAGATGGAGGCATTCGGAGGCATTCAGAAGCTACTGTGAGGGCACAGATAGCTATGTTGTTATGGTCTGAATATGACAACAAATGAATGAATTAATAAAATGTATGCCCTGGCAGTGCTGAAGCATGCACGGGCAGCCCATGTATGGCGGTTCTGTTGATCTTGTCCATATTGGGTTTCATGGTCTAAATTGATGAGGGCAATTGACCAGGTCTCTTCCTCAAGAGGGAACCAGAACTCATTACAGATGGTTGTGAGCCACCATGTGGTTGCTGGGAATTGAACTCAGGACTTCTGGAAGAGCAGGCAGTGCTCTTAAATGCTGAGCCATCTTTCCAGCCCATATAAGACAGTAACTTGATGCTAATTTGAGAACTCTTCCAAATGATAACAGTAGCGTTTGTTGAACTTCAGATTGGGCAGACATAATTCTAAGTGCTGCATGTTTTATTTCAAAACTTTCACAACAACTTTTAAAAGCACAATTATTTTTCTCATATTTAATTTCCAAGGATACCCAGACAGGAAGTGTCTGGGCATTCAGTTTGGCCCAGGTAGTGATGACTTATGGTACAAATGTGTGACCACCACACTCTCAGACACAAAGCTTAAAGAGTAATTTAATTGTCCCAGTTACCTCAATCAGGAAAATTCTGGGTAGACTAAAAGCCAGGCAGGCCACTGGTCATCAGGCTTACTGAAAAAGTACTTGCAAACTCATAATTACTAAATTTGAGTTACATAAAAAGTAAGTAAAGCCCACCCCTGGGAGAACAGAGTCTCACTGTACAGCCTTAGCTAATCTATAGCTTGCTATGTAGACCAGGCTAGCCTCAAACTTAGAGACGCACTCGCCTCTGCCTCCTGAGTGCCCAAATATAGCGTTTAAGACAGTACCGGAAAGCGTTTTTCTCAGAATTTTAAGTGTGGCTTAACATTAATCAGTTTATTAATGTAATTTTTTTTATTCAAGGAGAAAACATTTACATAGAGAAAACAATTAACAAAATGGAGTCTTTTACTTTTGGTAAAAAGTTTGAACTAGAAATATAAAGAAGCTTTCTTGTTTGAGTAGGACTTTTCATGAGCAAACAGAAGCATCAAATCATTAAATGTGTCATTAAATCCCATTGCATTCAGAAATAGCATGCATCAATTATCAGCAGTTATTTGGAAGCCTTAACTATTATAATTTTAAAAGAAACACATAGGGCCGGGTGTGTATGCAGCTCAGTAGCAGAGTACTTGCCTAGCAGGTGTGAGGTTCCATCCCCAACACCACATACACAGAAATCATATAAGGAGTATAGGTCAAAACCATATAATTAGGGAAATTGCCACACATAGGACCTTGTGGCAAATTCAAGACCATGGGAAACAAAGCCATGAATGTTGATAAGTGATGGCACACATCTAGCATGTGCAAGGCCCAGGACCCAATCCTCAGCATTGTCGAACAAGCCACGAGGACACCAGGGCATTCAGTACTATTCATAGATGATGGTTTCCTGCTAAAAGAAACTGATAAGATGCAAATGAAAAACTATATTTGAGCATTACTGAAAAGTTATTATTTGAGTGTCTGATTTCACAACATTAAAATTAAATTCTAGAATTTTTAAATCATGTCTTTTATAAAAGTTCTTATGCCACAAAAGAGTTAAAGGGTGAAATGTGAAATCATGTGAAAATATTTGAGGATCTTGCCACCTAGAGATATATATCATAGTGGCCAAAACCACACAAGGAAAAATCACTTAAGAGTGTGTGTGATACTGATCTTACAATAGCCCATAAATTGACACCTTTCTCTTTGGGGAGCCACAAACCATCTTAAAAATTTGCTGAGTCCAACTATATTAATACATGTTTACATATGCATGTAGATGTTGTGTGTGTGTTTAAAATCCATTTTAAAAAAATATTGACAGACAGATGTATCCAAATGATATAATTTGGGTTGAGACACTAACAACATTATATCTCAAATTTCAGAGCCAAACCTGGTGTCTCACCTCTATAATCCCAGAACTCAGAAGGTTGAGGCACAAAGATTGTCAGGAGTTTAAGGTCATCCTAGACTACAGAAAGTGGCATTATATCAACTTTGACCCTCTACCCCTTAAAAAAATAATATAAAAACAAAATAAAAGGCAGTTCACTCTAGAACAGTAGACAGATAATACAGCTAGCAATATTTTATGAGTATGAGGTTGCCTGTATTTATGTATGTGTACCACATTCATGCAGTACCCATGGAGGCCAGAAGAGGGCATCAGATCCCTTAAAACTAGAGTTAGAGACAGTTAAGAGCTGTCATGTGGGTGCTAGGAACCAAATCCTTGTCTTATGTAAGATGAGTAAATGTCCTTAACCACTAAGCCATCTCTAGCCCCAGCTACCAAAATGACAGTCACAAAAAGAAACAGAAAAGACAAAAACTAGTAAATTGTTTTCAAAATAAAAGCTTTTCTTTGAGAAAAAGAAACCAGAAAATCTGAACTATAAGGGCTTTGTTTCTAAAATTTCTCTTACAAATTAACCAAAGGAAAGAAAGGAAGGGAGGGAGGGAGGGAGGGAGGGAGGGAGGAAGGAAAGAAAGAAGGAAGAAAGGAAGGAAGAAAAAGAGCCCAGTAGAAAAATAACCAAAGAATATCATGCAGTTTGTACATGAAAAAAAAATGTAACCAGTAAACATTTAAAAATATCCAAGATCAGAAATAATGCCATATAAAAACGATAACAAGAAGCTATTATATTTTTCTGCTTAGGGGTTAGGAAGTATAAAGTGTTAGGAAACAATTATTAGGAATAATTTAACTATTATAAATCTTCTGAACAAGCTGTCATATCATCATACAGGTGGTAATAATATTGTGTTACCTCATAATGTTGGGCTGGAAAAACAACTAAAAAATGCTGTAATCTGTAGTGTAACTACAATATAGAATGCTATGTATGTTTATAATAAAGCCGTTAAAGTGTGTGATGGTGGATGCAGGAGGATGTCAAGGTCAGGGCCAGCCTGCATTATCTGGTGAGCTGCAGGCCTCACTGCACAATGAGACCCTGCTTAGTACCAAAACAAGTGGAGCCAGCAGGAGGCTTGACACCTAAAGGCTCTTGCCACCAAGTCTGGCATGCTGGTTCAGTTGTAGGACCCACGTAGAGGAAGCAGAGAATGGGTACCCACAATTTGTTCTCTGACCTCTATGCTACACCGTGATGCCTCCCAAATAAGTAATTGTATGTGATTTTTGTAAAAGCAAATACAAAATACAATGACAAATAACAAGGCAAATGCTGTTCTTTCCTGCTAGTGTACCGGTGTGAATGAATGCACAAGAGTTTAGAACTGCTAACTTTCACCTTGCCTCTGGCCAAGGAATCCTTTCTCTTAATCTTTGGAGTAGTATGTTACTTGTGTATTGAAATCCGTGACTGGGCACTAAGCGGGAAGGGCCTGTATCAACAGCAACAAACCCTCCTTAGAATTACATAAACATGGACAAGATTTTCATAGAAAATCAAGCTAAAGACCTTAAGTGAAAACTTGGCTGGCAAAAGCGAAGGAAAGAAAGAAAAATAGCCCAAAGTTTCTCCTTACCTTTTCTCTCCCCATACTGGAGAGTGAGCCAAGCCAAGCATTGTGTCAGTCTAGCACAGCTGGCTGCTTGCTGGCTGCCTGGACTGGTTTTTGAATTGCAGGTCTATCCCGTTGGACCCAGTTCTAATTGCTAAGTGTCCATGGTTAGTAGGTATCTAGGGAAGTTTTTATTAAGTTTAAAGATATTAAGAAGTGATGCGGTTTTTATAATGAGGGTGGCTCACTCACTGTGGGAGCAGAGGGCTCTGATGGACAAACGGGTGACGGTGGTGCAGGACAGAAAAACAAGTATGCAGAGCAGCAGATGTCAGCGTAGTCGAGGCCAGGGTTTATGAATTTGAAGCTTTTCAAGTTTTGTACCTTTAAGAACAGAGTGCACCTTAAAATTAATTATGTTCTGATGCATGCTATGGAATGACAAGCTTGGCAGTGTATCAATGTACATAATGGCTCATCTTAAAATAAATGACACTATAGATTTAATTAATCAGGTATGTTTATGAAAGAATATATGTGTGTACATATACCTTATGAAGTCTAGATTTATAAGCACAAATGCACACAGAGCTGTGATTCAAGGTTCTACCCAGACTTAACATAACCAGGATGCTTGTTTGGATGTTTATTGTTTTCTGTTACTTTCTGACCAAGTACTTGAACAGCGCCATGATAATCCATTGCATAGTGCAGGTTCAAGTACTAGGTAATGTGGAAGCTATGGAGCTTCTGGAAATGTCATTGGAAAGTATTGAAATCATCTGGAATCATTGGCTAGTAAGAGCATTGCTTTTCTAGACCTACAGTGATGACACACACCTTAATCCCATTACTCAGGAGGCAGAGGCAGGTGTTTGAAGCAGTCTGGTCTACAGAGTGAGTTCCAGGATAGCCAGGGCTACAAAACACATGGCTTCCCCTTTCAGTCTAAACTCAGCTAAGACTTTTTCAACACTCATCCAATGCTGTTTCTCTATTTTAAGTGTATTCCCAGGCTGGTACTAATTATCCTCAGAGAAGAGAAACATCCTGCATTTAAAGGTGTTTCAACAGAAAAATGTTTACTGTTTAAAAATCGACAAATAGAGGCTTCTGTTTCACATGCACAAATACATTGGATACCCGAATAGGAAAGTGATTAGAAGTTCAGAAGAAAACAGAACACTAAGTTTAGCCCAAATCCTTGTGGAGATGGAGGTTGCTTCAGAAGAGTAAATGGAGCCTGTTCTTAAAGTGCCTTGTGGCCCTCCAAAGACCCACAGCACACAGCGGTTGTACAGTGTATCTACAGAGAGAACATATCATGAGGGCCCAGGCAAGCAGGCTAAACTATCTGAAGACGTCTCTTGGTGGGCTCAGTACTGAAAACCAGGCTTCTCACACTGCTGAGAAGTACCAGATCCACCATGTGAGACAATCGATAAACTTTTGTAAAGGACACTATAAATTAAAGCTGTAGGAGGTAGCAGGCAGGAAAACATAGTTTATACTATGTGGTAAACCTACGAATGTGATTTTCCCTTGAGACAAAGTTTTCCTATGCAATCTAGGCTAGCCTCAAAACTCTTGTTTCTCCTTTCTGTGCTCCAAGGTGCTAGGATTACACATGGGCACCACCACTCCTACCTAAGAATGGGGTCTTTAACAGGGGGCCACTACAAACGGTTTAGAAGTAGCTCAGCAGAATATAGGCAGAAGAGTTGGAGTTTGTGTCTCGGTTTGTTCGGTGGTTAAGTGGGTAACTGCGTATTTGAAAAGGTGTTCCTGAGCGCCCGTCTGTTTGCGACTGCTTTGAACTCTCAGGTAGATTATGAAGTGGCTGGAATGAATGATGTGGCAAGCAGGCTCTCGGCACAGATGTGTGGGTTGCACGGGGCCTCCTCCAAATCTCTTCATATGCTCACTGACTTACTGACTGTTAGGATTTACTTGAAAACTGTGGGACCTGAACATTTTTGTTCTAACAAAGTAATGTGGATTATCTTATGAGATTTTATTTAAGACAAATGAAATAGATATTCACAGAGGAATATTATATTAAATACAGACAAAGTTTTATGCTAATTGATATGAAACTAAATATCCTAAGCATTTACATATTCAACATGCTAAATACATGAATTTTAAATGTGAATACTTTTGATATTTTAGATACTTTTGATATGCTAATCTGAATCACAGATATATCCCATACTGAGTGAGGTTAAACTCATAGTTTGGTTAATCTCTGTAAATGTTTTTGTTTTCATTTAGCAATCCAATGGGGAGAAGATGGCCGTCCATTTAATTTTCTCTTCTACACTGGCAAGCAATCATACTATTCATTAATGCATGTAAGTATCTTCATTTATAAGCTATAAAAGTATTCTAGAGGCTTCTCTTAGCAGCAGACTATCTCAGTTGTGGACAGAGGAGAGCTTGTTGAGGCCGGACTGATGATGAAAGACCCCTGTGCTGTCTGCTGCTGCATCAGAGTCTTTATTCAGAAAATGCTCTTGCTCGCAAGCTCAAGTTGTAGCGATCCCTGTGTGCAGTTTGAAGGTGGATAAGGAGGGCCAGGCACTGCGTGCTGTCAAATTGTGAGGCCATATATTCCCCTCCAGACCGCTGTTCATTTTGCTTGTTATCATATTAAAGTTCAGCCTTGCATTGGTGAATGCAGTGTGTGAGGGAGAATCCAGATCAGGCAGAGAGGTCCTACTGTGCTTTGGCTTTGGAGGATGCTGGGAAGTTTTTGTTTTGCTGCCTTCAAAGAAAGCTGTTGGGTAGTGTGTGCATGTGAGGGCAGTCCCCAAAACTGCTGTGAGAACAACAAGTTGGATGCCAGGATCCATTTTGAAAGACAGAACCCATTTTATTTTTAGAACATGGTGTCAAGTTCTGTTTTATCCATAATGTGATTTTTAAAGCTTTAGAAATATTTATGGGGCTTCCCATCCACAGTCAGAGGCTGGAGTGGCTGCACGCATTCCTCTGCCTTTAGACATATCTGCTGTTTATTTGTGCTTCACAAACCCAAAGGACAAAATCCCCACTTGTCAGCTACATTTATTTCTTAGGGAAAAAAAGAAAACCTTCTTTTCGTTTTTTGTTGACCTTGGGCAAATGAGCTTCTTGCCCTGGCAGAAATGAAATGAATGACAACTGCAGAGTGTGTCTTTGCTGAGTAATGGGGCTGTGCTCCAGCTTCCACGGAGGCTCCCGTGCACAGCCTGCGGCTGCCCGAGGACCCCTGCTGCTCATTTAAATAGGTATGTCAAATCTGCCTCCAAACGCCGCTGGTTTGATCTGTGGTAATATTTGTGAAGGTTCCATATGGACTTGAGCCCCCTGCAGTGCTAAGAAATAATGTACAACGCTTCATGGTGCAGACGCAAATTTCCCCTGAAAAGGGATGCAGTGCTGCGCTTTAGCTGTCGGAGGGGGATGATGGAGCTGACGCGCTAGGCCTGTCAACTTGTTACACGGATGGGTTGCACGCAGCGAAGCTGTGGAAAATCTGTGCCTTTTAACTTTTCTACTTAATCACGGTTGTAGCATTGCCTTTAGACTGTATGCTACATTAATTCTCTTCCTGCCTTCTGCCTTCATCCTAAGTTTCACGGAAAAAAGTAAAGCGGGCAGGTCTTACAGAGGAGCCTTATCAAACAGCTGTCATCTGACAAGCCATTTGCATTTGTTTTGGCTGAAATGGAGCAACCCAAGGGCAAGATACTTTGTTGCATTCCATCATAATGAAGAAATTACACATTGTGTAAGAGGCCTGCCTTTACTTTTAGTTTGCTTGTGTGCTTTAAAAGGTCTTGCTCCTGAAACTGATGTGTTAGAATTTTACCATGCTCTGACTGAAATGTCAAATTATATCTGACTAATAAATGCTCTTCCCCTGGATCGGGCTGTTTTTTGTTGCACATAGAAGAGCACATTACATTTCAGTGAACTCGGGAAATCCCCCACGTTTGCCAGTCGCATCAGCATCGCTTAGGGCGAATGCCATTAATTACAGCTGCAGCCACACCCATGTCACCTCGTAGAGCAGACAGATCACTGGCTCCTGAGGTGCTCGGACTCTGAAGTCGCAGATAAGTGTTTGCTGCTCAGCCTGCAGAAGCACTTTCATGCTGTAGTGAGCACTGCACATACAGTCTAACGGTGAGACTTAGACCAGTTTGCAGGCTTCCTCTCCTTTGTTCTGCCCTATCATCCGATAATGGGGACGCCTTCCCTCTGTCCCCGGGCAGCATGGAGAGCAGCCCTTGTAGACTGGCAGACCACAAAGCCTTAGGAATAAGCTTTGTTGCTACCATTTGCTTTGGTCGATATAATTTTCTCTCAGGATGACAGGGAAAAGACACTCAGCCAAGCAGTGTTTCCCATATCTGTGACCAGCTATAATTGTAGAAGGCAGGGCAGTCCATGGTCAGGCTTTTTGACAAGGAAACAGATCTCATGCCTGTGTGCAGCTGTGGGAGGAGACCTTTCTGAGCTCCATTAACCTTTCTTACTGTCTGTAATCGTGCTGAGTCTTTTTAGTATGGGTGGCTGTTTGCATAGTAAGTATACATACCGGTAACTTTATAACTAGTCAAAGATGGCCCTGAGGCACTTTCCAGTTAAGAACAGCATATAAAAAGCTAGGCATCCTGATACCCACCTTTTTAATCTCAACCCTCAGAAGGCAAAGGCAGGTGGATCTCTGAATTTGAGACCAGCCCAGTCTACATAGTAAATTCTGGGCCAGCCAGGGCTACATAGAAAGACCCTGCCTTTTTTTTTTTTAAGTCAGTATATAGCTAGGCATGATACATACTTGCAACCTCAGCAGTTGCAATGCAGGGGCAAGAGGATTGCTGCAGGTTCAAAGCCAGCTTGATCTGCATAGTGAATCCCAGGCCAGCAGAGAAATGTAGCAAGTCTGTCTTGGTGGGAGAATGACAATGAAAAGAAATGCGTAGCTTCTTTGTCCCCATTGGGAAGTGAGACTGGATGGGAAAATGTACATGAAGGAGGTCTTGCTGCTCTGTGGTTCATTTGTAGGTCAGCTGGGCCCCAATTTTACTGTGGACATAGTGACTCCTATGTCTTCATAGGGTAACTCTGTAAAAGCCCAGTTAGTAGGATGTACATCTATAATGAAGAGATGTAAAACCATCCTGACACCACAGCTTAAACAATAGGAAATGCTTTCAAGAAGTAAGAGTCTTCCTGGGTTTTGTAGAGTGGCATTGAACAGCTGAAAGGGCCTAGCTAGGTGCCTGACAGCATGGCCTGAACCTGCCCTCTAGATTGGGGCTTTCCATTCCGTCAGAAGCCATTTCAGCAGTAGGCCTTGTAGACTCCACCAGCATGAGCAGCTGCAGCCTCAGTTTCAAGAACAGAGTAAGGAAAGAGAGAGAATCAAATAAATTTCCTGAAAACACTAAGCAAAGCTAGAGGACAAAGAAGAAGTTTAAGCATGTTCTGTGTGTCTGTTTGAAAAACAGAGTTGGGGTGTGGCTCTGTGGCAGACACCTACCCAGCGAGTGTGAGTCTAGACTCCATCCCGAGCACTGCAGAATCGAAAACACCAGAGAGCAGATATGCAAGCTGGGACTGCCTAGTGAAACCCTGTATCTATGACTCAGGGAGATGACCAGGGGCTAGAGCAGGAGTGTAGGCTACTGTGGCCTGTGGCCTTAGCTCCGCTTTCCCAGAGAAGTGTCAGCCTGCCCAGGATGACTGTCCTGGTGGCAGATGTGGTAGTGGATGGGCCGTGTTTGTGGAATTCACTACCTAGAAGTGGGTTGAAAATTGTTAGTTTTGTTTACCTATACCCTTTTAAAAGTTACCTATGATAACTTAAAAAGAAGATGTTTATTTGACACAGTTTCGGGAATTTCAGTCAATGTTAAATTGGCCCCTGTTCTTTTGGACATGTGCAAATGTTCATCTTGCAATAGGGGAATGAAAAACAAAGGAGACCAGGGACCATGGTTCCTTTCAGAGTCATGCTTCCCATGACCAGAAGTTGTTTTGTGGGTCCCAGCTTCCTATAGGTGCCTCCTCTCAGCTGCATTACCTCAGACATGGAGCCTTAACACATGGGTTGTGGGGTGGGGGGCAACACTATCCAGACTGCAGCAAAAGTCACTTGCACCTTACTACAGGAGGTAGTTATCTGACTTACATGGAGACCTGCCTTGCTTAGGGTTTCTAGTGCTGTGAAGAGACACCATGACTACAGTAACTCTTATGAAGGAAAAAATTGAATTGGGACTGGCTTACAGTTTAAGAGGTTTAGTCCATTATTGTCATGATGAGAAGCATGGCACCAGGCAGGCACACATGGTGCTGTCCCATGCTGGGACAGGCCACGCAAATAGTGAAATAGTGTACTGTCCTTGTCAGCGTTATTTAGACACACGTCTCCAAAGCAGGAAGATAAAGCTTTGGTTTCAGGCCTGCTATATCTCATACACTCAGAACTCAAGAGACTTTACGTAAGCTTATTCCAGACTTTTAGGAGAGGCTGGCTACACGACTCTGAAAACAAAAATGGAAATTTAATATCATGTAGAAAGTTCACTTACATTTGCAACTCATTTTATAGTAAATAATAGAGTATTTTCAAAATGCTTCTTCAGATTGAAGGAACTGTATGGTCACTGACATTTACAAATATATAGGAGTACACACACGCACACACACACTAAAAACGTGAGAAATGAAGGACTAAATAGCTCATTATATATTTACACTGTTGGGTTAAGAAAAAAGTCCAAAGTAAAACGAACCATTCTGATCTCTGGAAGTTTTACGTGAAGTTTTACGTGACCTGCTGTGACAAAGCAGGCTTTTCCTGACAACTGAGTAAGAGGCTGCAAGCCAGGGGCCTGGGACAGAGTATCATGGCATTTGCACTTGGCTTTTGTGTTTCTGGATGTTCCTTGTGACCTCGTGGTAAATGTTTAAAGTTCTTGGATATACTATTGTCTTTAAAAGTGTAATTAAAATAACTGTTATGTGAGTAACTGTTTAAAGTCTGTGGAGTTACTGTTTTTAAAAAGTCCTTACTTTGCTGAGGTATATTTATATATGTGTTGATTTAAGACTTCTTGGCAGCAGGAATTAATTCAGCAGTCTAGAGATAGCTTTAGTATATAATTTCTTCGTATAAGAATAATTACTATTGTATACTTTATATACCCAAAGTATACAATTAGGAAAATAATGTTTTAAAAATAGAATTCAACTTGCTGCCTTTGTTAATTTGATGAGATTACTTATTTTGTAGTGGTGCAGATATTGTAATGTATGGCTTTAATTCAAGAAGTAAAATTCTGTGGGATGTGAGTCCAAAGCACTCTGGTGTCCTTGCTGCTGGCAGTTAGCTTCCCGGAGTGGCTCATATGACCTGAAGTGAAAACTCTTGCCATTTTATGTCAAATGGCATTCTTGATAGGGAGACCATTCACAGAGGGGTGACAGGGGTCTGCAGTAGAAACATGCCACTTGCAACTTGAGGTGCATCGAATTACATTGGTGTAATTCACGTGATTTTGTTTACACCAGTGGCCAAAACACTCAAGGTGGCTATTACTTAAGACGTTGATTCTCTGTGATTCCGTAAAAAATTATGAACTGTCTAAAATGGCAATTACTATTGCTTCCTTACTATTTTGTATACCAAATGCAATTGACTTTTCCTATGCTGCCCCTCCAATGAACTATTATTTATTTACCCTTCCTAAAATTTGAATTTCCACATGATGAGTATAACCCAAACAAATTTGGGAAAGATACTGTGATTCATACTGTTTAGGCTCCAAGAAGGGCTTTTGGTTTCAAATTTTCTGTTCTCAACCTGAGCATCTGGTCTTTTCAAATGAAGGCACCTTCTAAATTTGACTCATACATTATGGAAATCTGATGGCACAAGGGGTGGATAGGCTTGCTTTGATTTTATGAAATATTAATCATAGCTGTGATTAATGATTCAGCATTTCACATCTGGGTTATACCTGTCATATTTGAAATTACACTATTAAGTACAGTATATAAGCTTAGTGTAGGTGGGGTCATTCTAATTCTCTAGTGTCCCTTAAAAATTAAGTGGAAGTGTAACAATATACCAGAAGCTACCCGTGATAATCTGTGACGTTGACAGTTCCTGACATATTTTATACCCTCAAGGATTTTTCTATGCAAATTGGGACACATCTCTTCAGGGAACTAAAGCTATAGAATTTACTTCCCAGAGAACTGCTGCTTTTAGCTAACCACAACACAGACCTTGAAGAGTCATTTCTTAACACAAACAGAATGCATGGAGGTGGAGCACCAGCACAGTGGTTTCTTACACTAGCAGAGAGAATACATGGGAGTGGAACACAGCACAGTGGTTTCTTACACTAAACTGATTCTTTAAAGCGCCTTTAGCCACTGCTATAGGCCAAGCACTGTGTTAAGTTTTTGGCACACATTTTCTTTTTGAGAGTATAGTTCAGCGTAGAGACTCCCTGCATGCTCAGCTCTGGATTCATGGCCTAGAACCTCCTGCTGAAGAAGTCCAGGGAGCAGCGGGTTGCTCAGTTTCACCCAGCCCAGACACTTATCATTGGTGAGCGGAACTCACTGCTTGACATTTGATGCACACTTGTCATACTTTCCTTCACATTTCTTTACTGAAATCGTGGGTGAGTAATTATAGGTATAAACAACACCAGGAGGAAATGGTGTAGTGAGAGAATATTCCTAGAAAAATACAGACTTAACGTGAAAATTAGGCTGTGGAGGAGTATATAAGTTGGGGTGAAGGCACTAGCTGGGTTCAATCCCGCGGACCCATGTAGAAATGGGAGGGGAGAGCAGACCCCACACAGGCACCCATATACAGACCGTGCACATGCAATAATAAATAGAATTTAGGAAAGGAATGAACTGAAAGCTGCTGGAAAGCCATTGGAAATGGTTAATTTACCAGCCTGAACTTTGACTTGAGACACATCCAAGAGGAAGGTGTGTTCTGACCGAGTTGGTGTTCTTATAAGTTACATATCCCTGTCTGTGTTTGAAAGCCACGCCTCTGGCCACTGCAGTCTTAAGTACAAGAGCTAGCTGACGCATTCTTTTTCCTGGAGCACCAGCTCAGGCAGCGCCACTTGCACACTGACACGCTGTGTCCGTCCACTCGCTACGGGTGAGGAAGGCTCCTTTCCTGGAAGGCTTGACCAGTGTGCTGAAAACATTGTCATTGCTACCCCATGGAGTTTTCCCCTAATGTGCGTTAGCTGCTGGGAAGCCCTAGTGGCAGAGCATTGCTTAGCAAAAGTGAAAATCAGAGTTCAGTCCCTAGCACTACACACACTGGCTGAAAGTACCCTAACCACAGTCAAACAGGCTTTTAAAATTTTAGATTGTAAGATTCAATGTTAGGTCAGTAGTTTCTAAGCTCGAGGTGCCTTAAGTTCACTGGGTCTAAGTGTAATTTACTACATAAGTTAGGATTTTTTCCTTAGGGTAAATTTGTGTCCTATTTGTGCAACTGTAAGGAAAAGACATGGTCAACTGTAGGGAGAAAACACATTACAGAGTTTTGTTGGTTTAACCATCCTCACAGGTGTGAAATTTTAAGTTGTTATAGACTTTTTAAGCCAGTTAGAGTGTTGTAAAGTCACATTGAAATTACCGCCCCTTGGTTCAGCTGAGAACATTTTATTAAGACACATTTTCCTACTCTGAAGCTAGATTGAGGAGGGAGCACTTAGAATAAGGGCTGCTCAGGAAAACAATAAAATATATTATCAGGAATACTGTACCATCTCTCATTCCAGCTGTGTATTTTCTTTGCTTTAGGAAGTGTATGGAAAGGTTCTCCAGCTAGAAGCGCGCAGAGGTCCACTTTCAGAGAAAACTGAGTCCAAGTAAGTTCTTGTCGTCCATTGCTGGCATGTTGCCTAAGATTTGGACAGTATTTCAACAGTAGTCACTAAAGTTAAGTTTCTAAATGGTGATTTTTATTTAAGAGGAAACATACTGAGCTTATTTTTATGTAATCTAATTCCAAACTTAGGGGTTAAGTGGTATTTAATCACTGTTTTGGATTGTGATGGTCTCAGTGTTTTATGCGCAAGCTGCATGCTAACTCATCGTTTGCGAATTTCAGTGGTTTGTGTTTCTGTTCGGCCGATCGATCGTTCCATCAACCTGTGCATCAGCTTTCTACAGGCCTAGTGCATTTCTTCTTGCACAAGACATCTTATTCAGCTTGTTCAACCTGTGACTGTGGCTTTGGTTTTTTCTGGGGACTTTATTACTGCTTCAGTTGGTTGATAGGAGAACACTGGACCCTTTATGTCTTCCTAGCAAACTACACAGGCACAATCATAAGCTTTAAGGCATCTGGTAGCCTTTAAATGAGTTTGAGAGTGACACACTTAACTCTCCTAACAAAAGGTTTGCTCACACTGTATTTCTAAAGGAGATTGGGGGAATCGAGTGTTTCTCCAAAGTGGTGTACGAGTACTCCTGAATAACATGAAAATTTGTCTCCACATCATGAATTGCTACTGTATGTAGGATCTTTTGTGATATAACTCTAATTGCATGCTTAATTAAAAATATATGTGATATTTTAACAGAGACCTGATTGGCAGCAGATGGCTGATTAAGGAGGAACTAGAAGAAATGTTAGTGGAAAAACTGTCAGATCAAGATGTGAGTAATTAATCTTTTTAATTTAAGGGGACCTGTGTCATGAGAATGCAGACAATTGCTGTATTAAGATCCTACTAGTGATGCTCCTCAGAGCCAGGTGTTCCCCAGACACTTAGCCTTGTTCTTACCCAGCCCTTGTTGATTTCTGCAGTCAGGAAAGTGACACATCTACTCTCCAGACCCTCCTTTCCTCTTAGAAGTGCCCTCGTGGCTTCTGCCGGTGGTTTTAGGGAGTACAGCAGATGGCGCTTTTTGTTCTCTTCAGTAAGGCCAACAGTTAATCTCATGGGCTAATGATGAATGCAGGGAGCCATCAAGTAGAAGAGGATACAGCGCACCTTCATGCACTGTGTAACTTCCTCACGTGCCGGTCTTGTGGGCAGTGGTTTTACCTTTGGAGCTTACGTTAGCTGTGTCACAGACACTTAAAAAATGCTCTAACCTGCATTTCCCAGACCTGACAGACCCTTGGAGAGTCACCCAGGAATTTAAGATTAACAACCTCCCTCTGTGAACCTGCGTCCTGTAAAGTTCATGACCCCATTTTAGGTCTGAATTGCATTTATTGTGTTGAGTGTTCTAATAGAGCCCAGCATTATCAGGGAAGTTGGATATATACATATTTAGATGTAGAGTCAAGGTTTATACTCCCCAATCCCACTGTGACAATGGCTAGTAATGCTGGTGCCTTGCCACCGTGGGATTTAAGTTGTGCCCCTTGCTTGTTCTGATTTAATACCAGAGAAGTTAGTAGCTTGGGAAAGTTGCAGTTTGCTTAGACAAGGTGTTCGGAATTTGGATGGTGGCCGATCTGGAGGTGAGTGCTAGGGTCTTAGCTGCTGGGTCCTGCTGTGTGTGAACTGAATTGGAAAGATCTCTGTTTCTTCAGTGAATGCATCGTTTCTTTTTCTTCCTCTTTTCCAGCCGCCACTTTGATTTTTGTAAAATTCAGGCAGTTTTGTCCGTTTTTCCATTTGGGGAATACTCCAAGGACTTTAGTGCCAGCATATAACTATAAAAACAAAACAGCGTAGGTGGTCATCAGAACGCCTGGTGTTAAGAGGAGTCCTGGACACTATGTCTGTGACCATAAAGCTGAGGGTAGTGGGACTGGTGTTTAGCTTCCTAACCCATAGCCTAGCTCATTAACAAAGCTGTGCTATGCACAGTGAAGGAACTGTGAAAATATCAAGTCCAAGACACAGCTGTGTAGCTGGCCTGGCAGCATGGAGCATGAGTGTGTGAGTTCTCCTACTCAGACCACACATGCCTGCCTTTTCTCCTTGTCTCCCAGGAAGCTGCACCTGAACCATTGTTCTAATACTAACTGGACTCCTGAGATCCTTAAATGTTTCACATTATCCTGGAAGGATGTTCACTGGAAAGGCAATGCGGCAAAGTTGGGTGTGACTTTTAGGGCTGGCAGGAACAACTAAGTCATCAAAAACTGGGCTCAACGATCCATATTAACGAAGGCTCTTAAGTATAGTTGTTTCCTTCTCCACAGACACTCTAGAGTGATTATTCGGGCTTCTAATTTTAAGGGGTTAATACCAAGTTGTTTACTTTCTAATCACATGTTCAAGAACTATTAAAAAAAATGCACAGAGTAGCAAGGATAATTTATTTCAAGAGGTTGCCCTTTAAGTCAAGTATCTCTTGAATTTTTAAATAGCTTGATTGTTCGGTTTTAAAGGAAATCATAAACATTAAAGTAACACAGCTTGAACAGCCAAAAATATATTTGCCAAATGTATTATGAAATATAACTTAAGGGGAACGTTTTCTTGAAATCAGACTCTTTTGCTATTTATATCTGACTGGAAATTATTTCTAATGTTCCTTTTGATGCAGTTCTATTGACAGAATAGAAGTTGCACTTTTGAAGATCATCTAAATATTTTTGAAAACAAATTTAAATATCAATTTCATAATCATAATGCAGAAAAATTGATTTTTTGAATGATAAATCCCTTTGTTTTTTTGAGAGGGAAGCATAAGCTCTGAAGATCCACGGAGAAAGCAATGCATCTGCATGCTGTTTTAAAAGCAGCATGAGGATGCAGAAGTGTCACCCTGTCAAAATTCATCAGGAAGGCAACATGGGAAAGATCAAGTATATAAAAATAGCAAAACTTTAGCAAATGCAATTACACTTGCTTCTTCTAATGAATCCTATTGTCTGCAGTATGTACAGTTCATCCGGCTGCTGGAAAAGTTATTGACATTGCCGTATGGTCCTGCCGAGGAGGAACTCTTGCAGAGGTTCCGCAAAAGTGTAACTGTTCAATCAAAGAAGCAGGTGATTGAGCCCGTGCAGTATGACGAGCGAGGAATGGCCTTCAGCACCAGCGAAGGTAATGACATTCCACAGAGAGACTTAAGTCCACTCAAGACTCAAAAACCGATTCTTCTTATGCTATTGCTCTCCAGGACCTATTGGTTTTGTTGGGGTTTTTTTTATTTATTTTTGTATTTATTTATGTATTTATTGCCAATGTTACATTGGGTTTCCTAATCCTAAGACTCTATTGGAGTTTTTTGTTTGTTTGGTTGGTTGGTTGATTTTTGATTTTTTTCTTTTAAAGCAAAAAAACATAAAAGCCTAAATCTATACTCTTACAAGGGAAAGTGTGGATCCACAGCCATGCAATCATTAAACTATTTCATGTTTTCAACCGGTAGAATCAACAAAATATTTGTGAAAGGAGTTCTCGGAAACTCCAGATGCTCAGTGTGTGCGTTTCAGATGTAAACATGTGATGTGAAAACTTGAGGCCTCAACTTGAGTTTTCCTGGATTCTGAGTGAGGACATTAGACATGATCCCTCTTTCAAAAACTGACCTGTGAAGTATATTTATAGTTCTTAAAACTTTAAGCTCAGTCTTTTAATGCGTCACTGTGAAGTGCCGCCTTTCCTAAGGACTCCTTGCGTTTCTTTTCAGTTGTGTTTCACTCTAATGTTTATGTATTCTGAAAAATTTCTGTTGATTTGGTTTTTATTAATTATAAAAAAAATGTGAGTTGTTTGCTGTTTCTGTTGGAAAACAAATGAATGTGAAGGTCTTGGTTCTTGAAACAAATTTGAAATTATAATTACCTCCCAGTCGAGTTTATTTCCTTGGCTGTCATGTGAGTCACCCTTTACTTTTGGATACTTTTGCATTGGTTCTAGAACTTTCCTCTCTGCAGGTTCATGCAGTGGGGAGCGGTGGTCTTCCTGGGCTCTCTGACACGGTCTGGAACTCCCTTGCCGGCTTTTCTGTCCACAGGCAAGAGGAAGAGCGCCACAGCGCAGGCGATGGTCTATGAGCACGGAAGTGGGAAGATCCACGTGAACGGAGTGGATTATCTGCTCTACTTCCCCGTCACACAGGACAGGTGTGGTTTTGATTCCTGTTTTAAGGAAATGATGCTTTAGAATTCATCATCATAATTAAGAAGACTGCGGTTTTCTCATTGTTTATCTGAAGGGTTATTTCTCTTCACCAATAAACTAGCTAAGCAGAAACTACTGCTATTTTTCTAGGTAGTTTTCAGATTTTTAGGAAAGCATTCCTAGAAGCCCCCATTAATTGACTCGTTTTGTCAGCTCCAATTTGAATATTGAGGCATATCTCACATTCTGAAATGCAGAGCATGCCAAGACGTAAGGAAAGGACATATCCCCTTCTGCTGGGAAGACAGGCGTCCGCAGAAAAGAGCAGCCTAGGAACCAACCCTGGCTTCCTAATTGACGAAGCCGAGAAGCCCAGGGAAGTGTGAGCAGCTCTCCGAGGCTTAGGCTTGTTTCTCCTGATTGTGAACATTAGGAAAGGCCTGCCGTGTCTTTTTTGACTTTCTCTTGTGCAGGGAAGTTAATTAGACACGTGTAGGGAAAGCAAAGAGACCTGGGGTGGGTATGTAAAGTCAAAAGACAAGTTTTTGCTGCATTCCCAGTGCTGTGTGTGTTATCCCTAGAGAGGCAGACATTTGTCATAAGCAGACATTAGACGTCTCATGCCCCTTAACTCTCCACCCCTTGGAACTCTCTCTTCTTGACAGTGGTTATTGTTCCAGTCACTGCTGTTGGGTTCGTGCACAGCAGAAGCTGCGTGATTATTGCCCAGCTCCTACTCCTTGTGTTTCCTGACCTGTGGTGGTGTTTAAGGGCAAACGGCTTAAGCTCTGCTCGTGCTTGTGTAGGAAATAGGGGCTGTTCTGAATAGCTACCTCAGGGAGTGTGCTTGTGTTCCTGTGTCAGGAAGGAATCCGTTCTTAATTCTGTGAAATACAGACTGAACTCACTCTGCCATCGCCTGCGCTGGAATAACTGGAGGAAGCTTAGGAAAAGCCAGAGAGGCCCACACCACAGGATGATGGTTTCACTAGCAGCAACAAGGAGTGGTATTTGATGAGTGGCCTGTCTGTCACTTGGTATTCAGACAAAATTCCTGATGACATAACAGCAAGTTGTAACCGTAGCTTGATCTATCTTCCAGTTACACCTTAAATCTTAACCAGCCTTGGAGCGCCTGTGTGAGTCTGCTTGCAGAGTTTCTTTTTCTTACACAGTGTGAAAAGTTGCATTTGAATCCCCAGCTATAGTCAACTCTCAGCTAACTGGAAAATCGGCTTCATTTGAGGTCTAGAAGCTGCAGTGGCAGAGAAAGCAAGCAAATACAGTACAGATGGACTCTTCTAAGGAGAAGTTCAGGAGATAAGTAGCCCGGGGATAGAGTGCTTGCCTGGTGCACACAAGGCCTTGGGTAAATAAATAAAGTAGAAAATACAGCAGAGGAAAAGCGAGATAACCAAGTCCAGCTCTTTAGCAGAGGTGCCAGTGCGCATAATCTTGACAGCCTGAGTGGGAGGAGGCACAGGACCATGCTTGTGTGTGACCTCCTCATGGCGCCTGCCTGGTTTGCTCCCTGGCCCTGAGGGGCAGGCCTGACCATATATGCATCTTAGGGACTACAGTAGGAACGTGGGATTTGGGGTGGTCGGACACATCACAGTTCACCGTGGTTCTGGTAACATTCAGAGCAGAATTACGGAGAAGAGTATCCTACATTATGCAGAAGCATTAGAGCTCACCTCGCTTAGGAAAGCCAAATGTTAATTTATACATGGTCACTGAATCCTAGGCTGGATGCAGTGGGAGTTAATGGCATTCCTCAGCTGTAAGACTTCCTCACCAGGTGATTTTCACAAGGTTCTCATGAGATGATCAGAAAGGTCAGGGAGCTGCTCTACTCCGTCCATACCAAACTAAATCTGTGAGCCCTGTAAACCTCAGGACGCTCGTGTTTCTCTGTCCTGGTGTCAAGCTGATGGAGAAGTGTGACCAGTGTAACTGTGGCAGGCATCATTTGTTTTCATAACCATTCACAAGGTTAGTAGTTTATGAAATCACGGGTCTTCACAGGAGGCCTAACCCGTGTGTCTGTGATGTGCCTTAGAGAACAGCTGATGTTCCCCTTCCACTTCCTGGACCGGCTGGAGAAACACGATGTAACCTGCACCGTCTCTGGGGGTGGGAGATCAGCGCAAGCGGGAGCCATACGCTTGGCAATGGCCAGAGCTTTATGCAGCTTCGTCACCGAGGACGAGATAGAGTGGATGAGACAAGGTAGGTTGTGTGTGTGCGTGTGTGTGCACGTGCCCGTACAAGTGTGTGTGTGCGCGCGTGTGTGTGTGTGTCTACATGCACATACAAGTGCCCATGCATAGAGGTTGAGATAGAGTGGATGAGACAAGATAGGGGTGTGTGTGCGTGCGTGCGTGCGTGCGTGTGTGTGTGTGTGTGTATGAGTGTGTGTATGTACAAGTACCCATGCACAGAGGTCGAGATAGAGTGGATGAGACAAGGTAGGTGTGTGTGTGTGTGTGTGTGTGTGTGTGTGTGTGTGTGTGTACACGTGCACGTACAAGTGCCCATGCACAGGTCCTGCTGCTGCCCTGTTGCTATCACTTACACTAGTGTGAGAAAACTTCCTTTTGGGCTCTCTACACACTACTAGCTCCTTTCAGTCTCCAGAACCACAACTGTCGCCTTCAGTCTGGACTTCTACAGGGTGAACCAAGATTAAAGGTCCTCCCACCCAGCCATTGGCCCTGCTAGAATGTGCAGTTCTAAGGCCAGCGGGAATTATTTTGGCCTTAGCATAATCTTCCGTATAGCTGAACCAGCATATAACTCATCTGTATTCGAAACAGATTAGTTATTTTACTTTATCATAAGAATCAGTAATAATTTAATGATGGATGAATTTTTCCAACATTATTAGGGATTTTCTTTTTTTGCACTGTGATATTACAATTTAGTTTTATTTTCTTTTTCCTTTCATTTGTGAACCCATTACCTGTGCGTGAATGGAGGAGTCTCCACACTAGGATAAGGAGTGCACTTCATTCTTGCACTAGGATATTGCTTGCACATGTAGGAGCCATTCAAACTCGAGATGGTCTTTGCACCATCTACAGGAGAAAGCGCCGTGTGTGCAGCTGATGCAGCAGCCCTCAGGAGTCACTCAGTGCTTCAAACTTTACCCCTTTCCAGATCACACAACTCTACATGGTCTCCCTGTTCTGCCTGTAGCCCCAGGCACTGGGAAGTGCTTGTGGCTTAGGCTACTTGATTTTCTTTTGGAATGTGGCTTGCTTTTAAACAATTTGCCATTTTTATCAAGTTCACCAACTTGTGAAAATAAGTAGATAGTGAAGGAGGTTTGCATGCTTATGTCTTTGAATTTAATGTAGAATGTATCTGTATCCCATTCGACATTATTTTATCCTGTGAATCCCTACTAACTAGCAACCGGAAGCCCCGTGCCAATAAGAAGACTGCTCGGGTTAGAAAAGTAAAAAGGAGCAGGCTCAGAAGAGCACACCATTAATCCCAGGTCTACAAAGCGAGTTCTAGGTCAGCCAGTCTACATAGTGAGACCCTGTCTCAACAACCAAAAGACAGGTAAAAACAGTGCTGTGTATACAGTTAAATAAGGCCTGCGTGCTGCTGGTGTCTGTGATTACTATGGACGTTCCCTGTGGACCATAAGCTATTGCATGGTTGCTCCTGGGGACCAGACAGGCAGCAGCTTCCATCTAAGAGTGACTTTAGTCTTCTATAACAAACAACTTATATCCAAAAAATAACTCAAAACTTATTCAACTTCTGAACTAAAACACTAAGGAATGTCATTTTCACAGAAATTTTAACAAGATACTTTCTTGCTCCAATATGTTCAGCTGTTTGTTTCTATATGAGCCTTGCTGTGCTGTTAACAGGTGCCTGAGCTTCCTGGGACCTTGCTAACAAGGTGCGGTAACACACCCATAATCCCAGCACCTGGGAGACAGATGTGAAAATCACAAGGTCAGGATCCTTCTTAGAGATATAAAGAATACATTCGAGCTCAGTAAATAGTGGCTGGCCATGAAGAATGGCTTCAACCTAAGTTGAGCAGTATTGGTGAACCAAAGAAAGAGTCTTAATTCTCTTAGGATGCAGAAAGAGTCTCATAAAACATTGTTGGTGACGGGAACTATTAGTTTAGTTGTATGCCTCTGGGTTTCTCTAAGAGCAGTTTCTGTAAATGTCGTGCAGTTCACGCCCTTGTCAGCCAGGCAGCCTGTGTTTCCACAGCTCACAAAGGCTTCCATTTATACTGCAGCTGGACTACTTACTACGGATCCACGGATCAGAGAACGGAAGAAGCCAGGCCAGGAGGGTGCACGAAGGAAGTTCACCTGGAAGAAGCGCTAAGACTTTCACAGGAGAGCCAGGAGCACCTGTGTCTGTATGCCTGGCTCGTGGTAGAGCACAGTCAGGTACACTGACCAAGGGCAGACAGCTCATTTAGACATTGTTTTTAGTTTGAGTCATAACGTGATTTATTTTTAAGTGCTGTTTTATTGTGATTATCATTAAAATAATAAAAAATAATGTTAGTTTCGTTCTTTATTTTTTTAACTTTTTAAAATACAGGAGGGTAATTTACAAAATCTTGGCATATTGGGCTCGAAAGTTACAGTCACCCCATCAAGCATGGAGCTCTGTTTGAAGGGCGAGGCAGCCTACCACTGCTCACCGGCGATGCTAGATCCAGAGTAGGACTGGCCGCGCCAGGCTTGTTGTCCCACACAGGTGGTCATCCTTGCAGTGTGCTCTTAGAACTGAGCACTCAGAGTCCTAAGGTTGGAGGGAATGGGTTGCGCAGGAGCCTCTAGACTTGTGTGACTCTTGAGATTGTAGCCGGTGAGGGCGGTTCAGCCCCAGTCGCTGGACAGGAGCGTGGTGAGTCTGAGCCTATGTTGGATCAGTTTGGAGTTTGGGTTTTATAAATTTTTCAGTCATGTATTTAAGGTATACAGTAGGGTATTTTGATGTATGAAATGTTTGCTGCAATCAAGAAAAATAACCCTTACTTTGGCAAAGCCTTGTCAGCTATACAACTCTACCCTCGGGGAAATAGATCTGAGACCTGATCTTCCACCGGGCACCTAAATTTTCCCCTTTGAAAAACCTATCATCTAGTCATTGGCATTCTTCGTGCCCATTCTGGTAGCAGAATGAACATTTTGCGCTAATAACGGGACCTGTCCTTTTACAGAAGTATGCTTGAAGGAACTTTGCCTGACTGGTGTTTGTAACTGTGGTAGAGAAATGACTGAGAGATAAAAATTAAATAACAAAGACAAAACTAGAAAAGTTACACCCAGGCCTCTCTGTTCTACTAATATACTAGCAGGGCCTGAGGGTTGAGCTCTTGCCTAAAAATGTATGTGTTGTTAGTTTTTAATATAAAGAGAAGGGGAGGAGGGTCTAGAACTGGAGAAGTAAAATACAAAGGGCAGGTTAGTGAGCAGGCTCTTAGTGATGAGGATGGAGTCTTGGAGACTGAGGTCTTACTCTTTTATTGGCTCTGAGAGTGACTTCTCGGCCCCTGGAAGAATGCATGCAGACCAGGCCAGCCCTTCTTGATGCCCACAGGATCAGTGTGCTGTCCAGTCTGGGCTCAGTCTTTACCCCACTTCCCTTTAAACCGCCTCTCCTCCACAAAAACTACAGGCGAATATCAGATTTGTGCCTTTTTTCATTTCCTCAGCTCTGAGTTGCCCTCCTAAATATGATTGAAACCTCCAGGGGAGCTGGCCTCACAGTGTGAGGCCTCTCTGTGAGACAAATGCAGCAACTTCTGAAACCCTCTGCAGCGGTTCCTAGCCTTCCCTCCTCTGGGGGTGTTGTTCTTGCTGGAGGAAGCTGCCCCTCCCAGTGAGCCCATCGTTCTCCTGTGGTATCACTTGTCTGAAGAGAGCAGCGGCAGCAGCTGTTTTGCACGGTGCTATTCAGTAGATAAAGTTCAGGAGACTGAGTTTTGCATTGCAGTCTGTGGTTATGCTAGAAAAGCTTAGGACTCTGGTAGGTTAAAAAAAAAAAAAGGCCCAGTTTGAACTGTCTGAAGGGGCCTTTATTGGGAAAGGCTCCCACCGGAAGGACAGCAAAGTGTGCCTAGAGTGCCCAGCAACTCCCACTCCGTTGCCCTCCCCTTTACAGAAGTGCTGTCCTGGCTCCCTACTTCCCTCCTGGAGCCTTCAGAGTCCTAAAAGATGCTGAGGATTGCTCCCCAATCCATCGGAAGCTGGTCTTTGATTCGTGTTAAAAAAGACTGTCATCCTGGCTAAGTTCATGCTGGAGCAGAAGATACAATTCCCAGAATTCAGCCCTTCGTTTTCCCAGAAGTGGCAGGTTGCACAGACATAAAAATAAATCTTCAACAAAGGAGCCAATGACTAGTCTTATCTTACATAAATTCTTATTTAATGAAGTATATATCTGGCTTTTAACATATATATGTGCAGGTATCTCTAGACTATGGAATTATGAATTATTAAAAGCTTTTTCCTTTTATATGTGTTTAGAAGTTTATAAGTTGCCATGCCCTGTAAGTTGATGGAGGCTGCCAATAACCACCAACTTGGTAAATTATATAATTCATATTGTCATCACTGCCATATCGTAGCCTGTTCCTGAGTGGATGGAAAACGGAGAGAACTCATAATAATGGAGAAAGGCCAATAAGAAAGAGTGGGGGTTTTAAATGAATGCTCTCCATCGGTGACCCTCAGAGTTAATGCTAGTTAACTTCCACCAGTGTGGCCTGCTTTCCAAGGTCCTTCCTCCCTGAGTGCCCAAGGACCACTACTTTCGTGTAGTAAGTGTGCCTGGGAGAGGTAGGTGTGGTGAGCACCTGTTGTCCCAGCACTCGGGAGGCAGGAGAAGCACTTGAGATTCCAAGAACAAGTCAGACACCATAATGACCTGTCTTGAACAAAAACACAATCCTCAGGATAGGAACTAGGTGTTTAAATGTCTCAGACAAAGGAATTAAAGCATCGTTTGCCCCTTCGGTTGCCAGCCAAATCCATTCCCAGGCAAGCAATATAAACGCATGGACCAGTGCAAGGACAGAGGGTGGAACTTAATGGAAAATGCTGTCATCACAGAAAGCCTAAATTATGAAATAATGAATTTGGAGTTGGCACCCCACTGGATTCTATTCCAAGCACTTACAAAGAAGCTAACTACTATCTAACCCCAGTCCCAGGGGACCCAATGCCCTCTTTTGACCTTGGGCAATGCACACATGTGAGCAAGCATGCACACACATAAAAATAAATCTTCAAAAAAGGAGCCAATGACTAATCTTACATAAACTCTTATTTAATGAAGTATATAGCTGGCTTTTAACATATATGTGTGCTGGTATCTCTAGACTATGGAATTATGAATTATCAAAAGCTTCTTTTTCCTTTTATGTGTGTTTAGAAGTTTATAAATCTTGTTGGTAATTTTTGTATAGTTTGATTGATGGGGCACATTTTCGTGACAGGATCGCATAAATTCTGGGCTGGCTTCAGACTCACTGGGTAGCCAAAGATGACCTTGAATGTCTGATTCTTCTGCTTCCTCCCTGCGTTCTGAGATTATAGGTGTGCCTTACCATTCCTGGCTTTATGCAGTGCTGGGATTGCCAGGCAAGCACTGTACCAACTGAACTTGGTTTGAATTTTTTTAGAAAGCCACACATAACTTTTAATCATATAGAACATGGTAGCTCTCATCTGATATTCTGCTTTCCAATGTGTCAATTATCTGAGTGAAACTGTGCTCTAAAATATTAAGTGGAAAATTCTAGAAGTAAATAATTCACACACTTTAAAATCCATTCTTTTCTGAGTAGCCTGATGAAATCTCTTTTTGGAATGAATCATCCCTACGCCCAACATACTCATGATAGGTACGATACTTGCCTGTTAGTATCTTAGAAACCATGTTTATTACCAGGATCATTATACTGAGATCACAGGGCTGGAATCCAAATAGGCTTTTTATTATTTAACAGTGGCCCAAAGTGCAAGATAGTGGTGCTGAAAATTCAGATAGATAACACACAAGAAGATGAAGATGGTGAGAGAGAGACAGAGAGGCAAAGACAGAGAATATTCATGAGTTTAATTAGAGACTATTGTAATTGTTCTACATATTAATTTAAGTCAGGAAAAACATGTGTGGTTTGGGATTATCCATGCTCAGGTAGCCACAGGGTTCTCAGAATGGATCTCTGCAGATGTGGAGAACAGCGACAAGGCGCTGCTTTTGTATGTGAAAATAGCAGCATCGCAGTTAGTACCCTTGTTTGGCCACAAGATGGAGCAGTGTGCAACAGAATGAGCAACTGAAGGCCCTAGACAAGAGGGGATTCCAGCCTCCTCCTAGATTTCACCGCAGTGATTCCTGTGTGCGCTTTCTACCTTCTGGCAATACCAGGTGTGGGGTTATCTTCCTAAGCCTACCCACTGAAGACATTTTTAAATTCTCTCTTATTCCTTTATTCTTACATTTGAACCTATAGTTATCTCACCATTAACGCAAGCCCTTTCAGTGAAAGACATCAACGGTTGGAAAAGACTTGCAGCCAAACTTCTGAGGCTTAGTAGCCGCCCCTACTGGAGTGCCCTTGCCAATAAGTCTGGTGTCCACTGCTTCCATCTCCAACCATGAGATTTCCAGACCTGAAGGACAACTCCTGGACATCGGTTGCTATTTCAAAACTGTGTTTGATCAATGATTCGATTTAGCATAAGCTGTCTAAATGCTAATGCAGCAAAGGCAGGGAGGGTGCACAAAAGGCATTTGATTCCAACTGGGTGAGGGCAAACGCTGAGTGAGCGCCTGAGACTCCCCGTTCAGGGCACAGGAGATGGTGGGTAAGAGGAGAGGTCTGTGGGGGCATGAGGAGAGGCCTGTGGGGGGCATACAAGGCTCAGAGGTCAGGGAGAAGTTCATCTCCTGGCAGAGCTCAGGTTGGCAAGAGCTGCCCTTTCTGCTCAGTTCCTCACCTACTACCCAACCCAGCCTGGTGCCTGGGCTGCCAAAGTGGCTTTTCTTTCTTCCTTTCTCCCCCCCCCCCTTTTATCCTTTTATTAACCAACGGAATAGTTTCTACTTCGCTGCTACAATTTCCTAATAAGTCCTGGCCTCTTACTGTTAGGACGAGAACATTCGAAACTCTCCTAGCTCTTTTGCAATGTCCAGTATATTACTGTTAACTGTGGCTCCCACTCTGCATGAAAGAAGCCCAGAGCTTAAGCTGATGTAACCAGTTTAGTGTTCCTGGCCAACCTTACCCAGCCCTCACCCCGCTGCTTCAGCCTCTGAGCGAGCGCTGCCAGTCTCTTGTCAGCTTCTGAAATCAGTATTTTCTTTTGTCCTCACGTAGGAAGACAACATTCAGTGCATCTTTCTGATGCTGGCTCTCTTCACCCATCCTAACACCTTCCATGACCATGTAGGCAAATGGTTCTCAACCTTGGGGGTTGTGACCTCTTGCGGGTGTCACAACCCTTGAGCAGGGGTTGCATAACAGATATCCTGCAAGTCAG